GAGCTGACACCTCAGTTGAGTTTATTTTTTAAAAACGCATTTGGCTTTTGCTTACACCATTTTTCCAGCTCTTTGATGTGCATATTTGAGCAAGTGAGTCTCCTTTACACTTGGATGGAGCCAGTGTAAGCAGGCTGGAGTGAATCTAGAGAGAAGTGGGCACTAAGCAGCCTGCAAGATTAATGCAGTTCGCTGGAGTTAGCCCTTGGTGGACCACCTGATGCTTTATTTACCCGAGGCCCGCAAGTATGGTCACTCATAGTTCCCATTAGCTGCAGTTCGTCATTCCCAGCCAACGGGAGCTGCGGGAAGCAATGGCCTAGCCTGCACTGCTTCCTGCAGCTCCCAATGGCTGGGAACAGTGAACCATGGCCAATAGGAGTTGCGAGCTATCATACCTGCTCAGGTAAATAAAGCCTCTGGTGGCCTGCCAAGCGCTAACCCTGACAAACTGCATCTGGGATGCTTAGTGTTCACTTCTGCTCGAGAGCATATAGAGATGTCCAGAGAAAGGGGGTCTATTTTACACCTCATAATGCTGATGCAAACCTGTCTTCTCATCCTGTTCGGAGACTTCTGTCTGCTGCTTCCAAGAAATAAGCTCCATATTAAAAGGACTGTGTGCCTGTGCTGCTTTGAAAACATCTGGCTAAATGTCACTCTGGATCTTTGCTTATCCAAACTGCGGTTCTGAAGTGTGTAGGGCTGTGTCTCAGGTCATCTTGCGTTGTGGATTGACTGTTGGAGAGACACTGTCCAAGAGTTGTATTTCCCTCCCATATCTGTATGTAGAAAAGCAAGTTCTGGAACGTTGTAGCACACATCATTCACAGGGATCACAACTGAGGTAAATAGCATTGGAGACAAAGGTAAGTTCCTTTTACTGTGCGTCTTATTTAGGTACCTGTTTAGCATCTGAAAAAAGACACTATATCCTTAAAAGAAGATGGGCATAGCCTGACCTGTGATCTAAAGCTTTATTCGGTAGGAACACTTGGGCCTTTATTTCAGTGCCAATTGATGGTCTTTAACAAAGGTTAGTATTTTTCATCGTTCTGATCTACTTTTTTAACTTCTAGTAAACCAGAGGAAGGTGAGTCTATTTGGATTTAAATACTGTGAAGAGGAGGTATTGAAGCAGTGATTTCCTTAGCCATGGGTGTGTACCCTGCTGGTCCCTGCGAGGAAGGAGGCTTTCCAAATGCTGCTCACTGAATCACTATGCACTAATGATTTGCATCAGGAAATTGCAACTTGCAGAGACAAGGAATTCAATTTATTTTTCATATACTTTTCCTTTGTCTTTGTCATTGTTATTTAATGACTACATGTTCCAGTTACGGTACAAATAAATATCCCATTTTCTGTCTTTCATTGGCGCTGACAAAATAAATAAGCAGCAGGAGCAGATGCACTCTTAAAATACAGAGATCCTCTTTTCATCACATGCCCTTAGCAGTGAAGAATGAATACAAACAAACATCTATATATAGAAAAGACTGTGGGGTGTCTGCATTATCCACAGGCCAGTGCAGGATTGTTTGCTGCCGCATGTTTTTTACTCTTTAATCCAGTCTTGATAGGGATGCCTTGGCGCGTTTAATATAAATGTCAGGATGGAGGGATAGATATTCCTCTTAATAATTATGGAATAATCTTTATTCTTCTCCTTGTCCTCACATGTGGTGCTTGACAAGCCATTTTGCAACAGCCTCATTGGAGAAGTACAGAGCCCTTAGACCATAGTCAAATCTTGTCAGAGGCAGGGTGCATTGATCTAGATCACCAAAAAAAGTCATTGATTGAAATCAAGTTTCCCACTGATACTTCTTCGCGTATTTCTTCAAACAATGCAAATCTGATCACTAAAACATGATCTTTTATAGCTCCGGACAGGATTTTACAACATCTAACAGGGGCTACTTTGTGTAATTTTTTTTAGATAAATTAATAAAAACCAAGTTAGGAAGTAGTACGTAGTACTCATTACCTGTGGCAAGCTGCAGATGCTGCAGCAGCACATTAGGAATGGTAAGAACTAAGTCACACACAAACACAATAGTGCTTATCTTTTATTCAACTAAATCTTAAATGTTACATATATGTTTCACATTTGTAATTGCAGCAGTCTCCTGAGCTGCCGACTGCCAGCTGTCCTTAAACTCTTTTTTTTAATGTTCAGATTTTGTTAACTCTGACAGATCCTCAGAACGCTAAATGTACCATGTCCTTAGAACTTCTACAACTAGCTCTCATCTTCCCCACTCCCACTGTCATTTTGATGCAAAGCTGATTGATTCCAAGTTGCCAAAAAAAGCTAAGACTGTGCTGAGAATGCACTTTATTTTGGAAGTCTCAGAGGGGTAGCTGTGTTAGTGTAACAGGAAAAACAACTTTAAAAAACAACTAATAGTCTAGCAGCACCTTAAAGACTAACAAAACATGTAGATGGTATTATGAACTTTCGTGGGCACAACCCATTTCATCAGATGACTGGAGTATTAGAAGTCCAGATCCAAGAATAAATAAGGGAAGGGAGTGGAAAGGAGAGAAAAGGAAAGAAAGAAAAAATCGAGAGAGTGAGTAGCTTGTTCAAATAGTTACAAGAGGCTGATAAGAACAATTAGTTCCTGCATTGTTTGGTTGGTTGGTTAAGGCATTCGGATGTGGAAGGTAGTGTGCAAGCGAGCTGATGTCTCTGTTCATTCCATTCACACAAGAATTAAACTTGCAAATTTAAGTTTTAAAAAAAAGAGTAGTCCTGTAGTGCCTTAGAGCAGGGGGGCCACTTAAAGAATGTTGGTACATGGTTATGGGCCGGCTCCATCCCCCACAGAAGGGACAGCAGGGGCGGGGCTGAGGACTAGCCTCCCCCCAGAGTTGTCCGGGGCCAGAAGCTTTGAATTAAAGACACAGCTACCTGGGATTGCTCTGGCTATTTAAAGGGCTGGTGGCTCTCACTCCTACTGAGGTAGTGCTGACCAGGAACAGGGAGCCATTTAAATAGAACCTGGCTGCCTGAGCTCCCACCTGGGAATTTGGTGGCCCAGGGAGTAGGATATACATAGAAAGTGGCCAGATGCTGTCCGCGGGTCGGATCTGGCTCAGCTCACACCCTAGATCCCCCTTTGTCTCTAAAGCACTACTACCAGCTCTCTGACAGCGAGGAGGGTTAAGAAGCTACTTGGAAGAGCAGGACAGCAAAACACTCGTAATATTTCCCAGCAGAAACATCCCTTGCTAGCAAAATAGGGATTTTCAAAGCAAATGTTGCCAGCATGTTCAGTGCCTTGCAGGATCAGTCGCTCAGCTTCTCCATGTCTAGAGGCATTTCCAGTGGATCAGTGAGTATTGTTCAGTGATAATAATAGCTTCAGGAGGGTCACAGTTTGTAGCAATTGGATGAGAATAGTAAGTGGATTTTTTGGTTATCTCTAATAAAACCCAGCTAATTAAAAACCATGTACAGGTAGAACCTCTCTGGTCTGGCAACATCCGTGGTCCAGCATGATTTTAGTTAGCCGGATGTCCACTTATCATGGGTGTGTCTACGTTTCCTATGGTCCCATAAAGTTTGTTTACAGCCACCAGTCCTGGCTGTCAGTGTTCTGGGGTTTATTTAGCGCTAATTGACCCCTAAATGTCTTCTAAGAGCCATTAAGCAGTGGAAGTATGGGTGATTAGAGTTCTTGTCAAACATGTGGACAAGGGGGATCCAGTAGATATGGTATACTTAGATTTTCGGAAAGCCTTTGACAAGGTCCCTCACCAAAGGCTCTTGTGTAAATTACATCGCCATGGGATAAGAGGGAAGGGCCTTTCTTGGATTGAGAACTGGTTAAAAGACAGGAAACAAAGGGTAGGAATAAATGGTAAATTTTCAGAATGCAGAATGGAGAAGGGTAACTAGTGATGTCCCCCAAGGGTCAATCCTGGGACCAATCCTTTTCAACTTATTCATAAATGATCTGGAGAAAGGGGTAAGCAGTGAGGTGATAAAGCTTGCGGATGATACCAAACTGTTTAGGATAGTCAAGACAGAAGCAGACTGTGAGGGACTCCAAAAAGATCTCACCAAACTGAGTGATTGGGCAACAAAATGGCAAATGAAATTTAATGTGGATAAGTGTAAAGTAATGCACATCGGGAAAAATAACCCCACTATACGTACAGTATGATGGGGACTAATCTGGCTATGACAAATCAGGAAAGAGATCTTGGAGTTATCGTGGACAGTTCTCTGAAAACTTCCACACAGTGTTCAGCGGCGGTCAAAAATGATTAGGGGTTTGGAACAGGTCCCATATGAAGAGAGGTTAAAGCAACTGGGACTTTTCAGTTTAGAAAAGAGGAGACTGAGGGGGGATATGATAGAGGTATATAAAATCATGAGTAGTGTGGAGAGGGCGGATGAAGAAAAGTTATTTTTTGGTTCCCATAATAGAAGAACTAGAGGACACCAAATGAAAGTAATGGGTAGCAGGTTTAAAACTAATAAAAGGAAGTTCTTCTTCACACAGCGTGTAGTCAATCTGTGGAACTCCTTGCCAGAAGAGGCTGTGAAGGCTAGGACTATAACAGAGTTTAAAGAGAAGCTAGATAATTTCATAGCCTTTTATGGACCTAAACTCTATTAGCCAGGGGATAGAAATGGTGTCCCTGGTCTCTGTTTGTCAGAGGCTGGAGAAGGATGTCAGGAGACAAATCGCATGATCATTGTCTTCGGTCCACCCTCTCTGGGGTATCTGGAGCTGGCCACTGTCAGCAGACAGGCTACTGTGCTAGATGGACCTTTGGTCTGACCCAGTACAGCTGTTCTTATGTTCTTATGTGATGCTGCTAGACCATATTGACCTTCCCTGGTCCGACAAATTCTCTGGTCCGGCACCAGTCAAATCCCAAAGGGGTTAGACTAGAGAGGTTCAGCCTGAGTAGCAACTGTTTAGTCCTGTTGTTTTCAGGCTGTTGGTATGAAGTTGTATGTGCCAAGTGTTCAGAACTGACTTGGAGTTGTGGCAGTAACCACAGCATTGGATCTGCTCCCAGTGAATCCCTAGCAGAGCTGATGTCCGAGTGTTGTGAACCAATGGGAAGACGGGCTATATAGAGGGTGTTGTAAGGGAGTATATACCGGGCTGTCTCTGGTTACGCCCATGTATGTTCAACAAGCGCTGGTCTGACTGATCTTTGCAGCAAGCTACATTGGCCATGGCTTTTGGCTTAGCTCTGTGCTTTCATAGCTGCCCACCTGGCCTGAATAAACCCTTTGATCCCAGTTGTCTTCCCACAGTTTTGGCTAACTTTTTCTTTCTCTTTATTTGGTTTCTGTTTAATAGGAACTGCAAGCTGTATAACAGCAATTTCTCAATGGCTTCTGCGGATATTCTGTACATCGATATCACAAGAAGATGGAATAGTGTGGGACTAGACCAAAGAGAATCAGGTAATGCTATCCCATGCTGGCAGAGCACATACGTTTCTGTTTCTAGATAGCTTTTGCCCTCATAGGTGCCCATGCAGCTTGTGCTAATATTTGTGGAAACGGTGCCTCTGCATCTGACTGTAGAATTTGGCCTGTTAGTGCTATACTAGCTTCCTTTCATGTGTCGGGTAGGTCGACCTTGCTTTCAGGTCCTCACTGGATCTGGGTTTCACAAAGCTGCCCTTTTTGCACTTGCGACTTTGCAAGTGTCATTTTGGGTTTTGCATCTGCACCTGCAGTTTCATCTGGTGTTTGAAGGCACTTTGCCTTCAGTCCTGTACTGAATACTGAAAACCAATGTGAATGCGCATGCGGAAATGCCTTAGCTTTATGGTCACATAAGCAGATGCTGAGTTGCCTCATCCAAATCCATACTCTCCTTAATAACTCTCCCAGTGAGGTCTCCATTCTAGCACAATGAGGTGCAGCCTGTATTCAGACCGTAATTTACATAGCTAACAAAAACACCTCACATTCAAGAGCTCCAAATGGCACATCCAGCGCTTTGATGGTCGCGCCTGCTGCCCGATTGGATTATTTTTGGTAAGATCCAAGTACTGCATTCATTTACTTTTCAAATAGTAGGTTCTACCCTACAGCTCTTCTCTCACTGACCTGAGCTTTGTGATGAGCAAGGAATAGATGCTACACTACTACTCAGCTGTTAAATTCGCCTCAAATTTAAATGATACCAAAAAAGCTTCTTTTTTTTTTTTCAAAAGAGAAATTCATTAAATAACAACATTTATTGGAGCAGCAAGGTAGGCGTTCCTATCACGGTGCTGCAGACGGCAGCTCACTTACTAGAGCTTTGTTGGCAATAGAGAGCAAGGCTTAAATCTGAACCTTTGCAGGTAAGTATTCATCTTAATTAGCATTTAAGGGCGAAGAGGTCTCAGGTTTTAAGAGAGTTCTAAAATATTGCTGCTGCATTAAGCGAAGAAGAAGAAGACAGAAAAAGAAAAGCCACCTCTAGTGCTGAATATGTATGGTAGCAGAAATGTGCCTTTAATTACATTATTAAATAGGGGAATTGATCAGTACTAGCAGAAGGAAGCTGTTTTTCATGTTTATTGCTTCAAACTAGCATTGCCATCTGGCCCATTGTTAATTCCGGATTTGTTTTTCATGTTTTGTTTGCTTCTTAAATTACTATGTATACACAAAATCTGTACAGTCTGCTCATGTAAGGGTGCTAGCACAGACTGGTTATGTTGTGTGTTTGTCGGTGTTTCTCTTTGTTTGGCTGACCAGAACAAGGAGAGGAGAGAAATATTTATTTTCCGTACACTCCAACTAGCAATATCCCCCTCCTCTCTGGCTTCCCTCATACCTCCATTTTCTTCTCTGGCCCATATAAATGCAGTGTCTGAAGTCATCTTTAGACTCCCCCTTTTCCGCCAACCCGGGTTCAAGCGTCTTGTCTTAATTCTATCCCTTCCTACTTAACCAGTCTGTTCTCTTCTTGTGTTGCTGCCTTAACCTCAGGGCAGTGGTCTCCAAACATTTTGAAGCACAAGATCACTTTTTTTAATTAAGTCGGGGTAGGCAATAATTTTAGATGGGGAGGTGTCAGCCAATGGTCAGGGCAGTGAGTGGTGTGTGTGTGTGTGTGTGTGTGTGTGTGTGTGTGTGATACACCCGAGACTTCAACTGCTGAGACCGGAGTCCCTTCGCAGCGGGCAACCTGGAGAAGGTTGGGCGCCCCAAGAAGTTTACAGGGAGAGCTTATTACACCTCAGATTTCAGCTGCTAGGATACAGGATCCCTTTGCAGCGGGCAGTCTAGGGAAGACTGAGAGATGCCCC